TTAAAATAACTATTTTCTATTTGAATATACATAAAAATGTAATTTCTTCCTGTGATGGCAAAGCTGAATTTACAGCCTTAATTGTCACTGTCACGATCTCCAGCTGGAGTGCCTTGAACTCCATTAGAGGGCACTCCATCTCTGACTCTTCCCACTCTATCCCAGACTACATTTCCCATAATCCTTTGCCGGACTCATCTCTAATTGCATTCACCTGTGTCTTGTTTCCTCATCAGTCTCACCCCATTTAAAGCCTGGGGCACGTTCAAGTTCAAACCGGTGCGCAACGTTTTGCTACGGTTTCTGGGTTGAACGACATGTTTCCTGGAAACAGTGTGCAACGGGGTTTGAGATGCGTTCGGTGCGTTCTAAACAGGATATATCGCCCTCTGAAGGGCACTTCGGAGTGAAAACAATCATGGCCGCCATATTGAAGGGTCGTTCCAAACCGAAGTGCTCAAAACTGGCCACTTCAAAGGGCCCTTTGGAATGAAGGATTTCAAAGGGTACAACTGATGGACACTTCGGGCTCCCATGATCCTTTGCGCAGATTCTTTGCATGATGACGACGCCTCCGTGTGGGCACATGATGATGACACAGAAGGGCACTTCAAGAAACAGTTGTTTGGTCCCCTACACCCTTCAACCCTTCGACACTGTCACTCCGGAGGGTAAACCCTTTGAAGGGATTAGTGCATAGGGATGAGCCCTTCCGAATATAACGCAGGGGTTTTCTCTTGTTTGGTGGGTGTTTCAAAAATGTCAGCCCAATCAGCAGCAACATTTATATAAACCACGCGGTATTAAAGAGACCACTCGCACAATGGGTCCAAGTAAAGTCGTTTGCAAATGCCTTCTCAGCTGCCATAGTTACAACTCTTGCGTCATCAAAACAGGGTATTCAACACACCACCATTTCTTTTTAAAATAACATTTTGCAACGTTTTGTCGGGGCTGAACACAGCCCTGGTTTTACACACACTCATTGCTCAGTATTGTTAGCCTTTAGCATTGTTTTCCTAGTTCCTTGCCTTGTTTTTTGACCCTGGACTGTTATCTCGTTTTGTGATCATTTGCTGCCTGGCCTGACCATTGTTGGTTTATTGGATTACTCTTTTGTCTGCCCTGGATTATATCTGTTTACTGCTGTTTGACAGTTGTGCAGCTTAATATTTTTGTGGAAACTGGTATATATAACATATACCATTTAACATATTCAATAATTAATCTGGACATACAAGTGCCCTTATAGCTGAAGAAACACTCAATTATACAAACATGGCTGTTTACATATATTTGTCTGTATATGGAGAAAAAAAAAAAAAAAAAATACCTTTAAGTTTTTCTATGTTATATGGGGAAAAAAAAAAAAAAAAAGAATACCTTTAAGATTTTCTATGAGGTCTCGGTGATCAGATTCTGTAGTTGTGCAGTGACTTCTGTGATCTTTCTGTTTGTGCTGCGATACTTCTAAGTAGAACAAAAAAGAGACAAGAATGAGACCCAAGAACACGGGGTGTGAAGAATGGATAATTATAGAAAATTATATTATGAGGGAGACAAGTTTCCAAAAGACACCGGAACCAACCGGCAATTAGAAAATTATAATTGGGCTTTTATTTTATGTAATCTCCACAGCAAACAGTCCCATATAATGAGTATAATGGGAACATATGTACACATTTATTTCTATGGCAACCAAAAATCCTACTTTAAGGCTATGAGACACTGCATATGAAAGATGGAGAAGTGAAAGCTCAAAAAAAGAATGGGGGGAAAACATCATAT